TGTGAAGAGCCAGCTTCTTTGGCAATGAATGTTTGTGGCTTACCCTCCTTGTGAAGGGTGTCAATGATTGTCTTCTGGACAACTGTCAGATCAGCAGTCTTCCCCATAATTGTGTAGCCTAGTGAACCAAACTGAGAGACCATTTTGAAAGCTCAGGAAACCTGTGCAGGTGTTTTAAGTTGATTGGCTGATTGGCATGTCACCATATTCTAATTTGTTGAGATAGTGAATTGGTGGATTTTTGTTAAATGTGAGCCAAAATCATCACAATTAAAAGAACCAAAGACTTAAACTACTTCAGTCTGTGTGCATTGAATTTATTTAATACACGAGTTTCACAATTTGAGTTGAATTACTGAAATAAATGAACTTTTCCACCACATTCTAATTTATTGAGATGCACATCTATCTATCTATCACTCACTCACGTCAACATGGTCATTTGACCATAGGCACGTAACGTGGCTGCGATTAGTCTGTTTGATTATGTGCACTTCCATGAGATGTTTTTATGCAGCAGTTGTGTAAACAAGAAGTTAATAATGAGAAAATGTTTTTAGAAGTTCATAGCCTACATTTTCCTCTGCCAACTAAAATTCCAAAAGAAGCCAGAGCATCAGACTTTATAATCAACGCTGGGAGTCTGGGACTCACAGTCTGGACGGGTGAGTGAATCGGAGCGACAGCTGGACATTTACAAGTGTTCTGTAATCACTCCGCTCTAACTCCACTCCGTGTTTTCCAATTACCTTTCCCGACTTCGCTACTAGTGCATAGTGGAAATTCGCTTATAAGCAACGTTCTTAGATAATTTGTGCAATGGCCAAAAAGTTAACATTGTTTTGAAAAGCGTTTTAATTATAAAGTGCATTGGCACAAGTGCTGCTGGTCAATTTACACAATATATGTTTATCAGTAAAGTTTACTGTACTGTTCAGTTGCTGTAATTTTTCAGTTCTGTATTTTTTTTCCGTTAGTTCTGAGAATTTCAGTAGATCTTTAGAAGAACTGTCAATCCCTTGTTACCTGAGCCTCAAACCTTTCAGCAGAAGTTTAAGAGTGTTTATGCATGAAAAGAAGACTTGGTGTGTCTTTATCAGTCAGTTTTATTATGTCTTAGATGTTCTTGCAGTTATGAAAGCAACAAAAGTTGATGATGATTCACCCTTTTTTCTCAGCAAAGCCTTGAATTTAGTTGAACACTTTTAAAGTATTTTATTTAATGGATGTGTATGGATTTATTACATTATGGTGAATGCTTCCATTTCTGTTCCTTTTTGGGTGACTTGGTACCTTTTATTGGAAACTAGTAACTGCTTTACAGCTTTAAACTGTATGTGCAAATAAGGTGCAATCTTGAGTCTGGATTATTTTTAATGATTACTGTTGTAAATATTAAATATTTATGAAATGTATTAAGACTACATATTTTTGTTATAAAGAATTACATCTCTAAAAACCTTTTATTATATATATTTTTTACATTTTAATCAGTCATTAAATATATACTGTACATTGTATATTTATTATCAGTCTTAGTAGATTTCATAACCTTAAAAACAGTACAGTATTTTCTCTGTGGACATTTTCATAGTTTTTGTATACTTAACCACTGTGCTCAGTTGAATTTCACAATCTTTTGACTCCAACCAATATAACATTTTATAGTAAATGTTTTAAAATCCTTCGTCTTCAAACATAATTATGTTTTCATTAAAAACACAGACTCTTTGAATGGTGTGTGTGGGAACGGCCTGCTGTGTTTGTTGCTCTTTCCACACAATGCTGTTGTCTTTAGCATATCAGATCTCTCTCTGTTTACATGGGACCTAGCATGACTCTCCAGTAGTTCACTGTTGTTTTATAAAGATCCTGGGATGAAGGATGTATTAGGAGTGCTCTCATAGATGACTAGCTTTCCTCCGGCTGTGATGATCGGTGCTGCTTTTTATGAAAGGTTTTTGGGCTATAGTAAAGACTAAGGTGAAATCAGGTCGCTGTTAGTGTTTCGATGCGATTTAAAGAACCGTTCTGGGTTCAATACAAGGTTAGCCATCTTATTTTATTCATTTTTAAACAAAGCATAAAGATCCAGTTCCAATTCTGAAGGTGCTAGATCTGACTTGTTCTGCCACAAATTAAGTCCTGATGAGTACAGCTAATCATTTGTAACTTTCGGTTGCAAATTCATTAGCAATTTTGATGTTTTGCAATTATTTCTTGGGTACTTTAAGTACCACAGGTTGTCTTGCATACCATTCTTTCATTACAGCAAGACCAGGCTACAAGAAAAACACCATGCACTTAAGAATAAGAACAAACCAAAGGTGCTTTTGAGGATTGTCTTACAGATCATCGACAGTTCACAATCTCCAGCTCCATTTCCCCTGTGTGCTTCATTAAAGCCGGAGGTGGGACCCAGTTAGGATGGGGGGAAAACAGAGGAGGTGGACAGAGTCCTGCCTGGCACATCTCCAGCTCTAACATGGTTTGTTGCTGATTTAATTGAATTGCCCCACTCTGTAACATGCAGACCCCCTGGAATTCAAAACAGATGTCCTCCCTGTCCTTCTTGAAAGATCTGCTATTAATTTGCCTTTGAGAGTGATCCCCTATGGAAGCATTAACCTTCCCCCCCAGGCCAGGCTGACTACGTGCTCTGCAGAGCGGCACGCTGAAGAAAACACCATCTCTTGGGACTAATGTGGAGCTCACACACAGATGAACTTTTGCTCAGCTTGTGCAGACATTTACGTTGTCTGAGTAATCAATTTACATTATATCACATATTTCAGTTGTAGACCAATCCCAGTGAAATTTTGCAGAATAAATTAATGTGCTACTGAACACGTCTATCTTTTAAACGTCTATTCAGGGTCACTTTTACTTAAATAAATAAATAATTATTTAATAATAATAATACATTATAGTAATATAATAATAATGATTATTATAATTATTTGTTTTAATAAATTAATTATAATAATAATTACAATAATAATAATATTTATTAAATTAACTACAACAGCAATAATAATTATTAGAATAACAACAGTAATAATAATTAAAAAGTGTGTGGAAAAACAAATATATCACTGACATCACAAAAAGTCACTTTAGAGGTCAATATATTGTTTATTTTAATTTCATACATTCAAATATAATTTTTTTTAATTAAGTGTACTGAATTGTCAGCCCTATAATAATAATTTTAAATCCAAACGTGTGTATATTTTATTCATTTTATCATCAAGTTATCATCCTATTATGAGGTTTCATATTGAAGCAGTGTGTTAATGGAAAAAAGAAATAAAACTACTACTAATAATAAAAATAAACATCGGGGTGCGCTGGAATAATTTGGTTTAGAAACAATTTTCACTCAGAAATTGCTAGTAAATATCACCATTACAAAGAAATGGCAAGTAATGTGAAATTGTGAGGTAGAAAGACTGAAATATTTTCTTGTAAAATGTACTCTAATAATGTTATATTTATAACTTAGAATTTTTTTTTTTACAGTGTGCTGAAGAAAGGCCTGTTTGGGTTGACGTGTTGATGTTTTAAATATGTAACCCCTCTAATTAAGGCTTTTTGGAGATATGTGAGTGCCTGTACGTGGAAGTATATCTATTAAATGAGGAAACATTCAATAATATATAGGTCTATAGATTTATGTATCCGTGTGTATTATGAGGTAGTAGGCAACCGGCCTTATTGCAGATTTTGTTTGGTTACTTGAAGACTTTATACGTTTCAAATGGGCAACCACGTGTGTAATCCTTGGGAAGGTTGAAGGTTTATTCCCCCATAAAACAGCTGTAGGAGTGAGTTTGTGTTACCTTTCAAAATCCGACTCTGACATGTCTCTTATGAGTGCAGACCCTCAATTGTGCTTCTTGTATCTTAGCAACCAAGGCCTGTTCTCACAAACACCATCCAGAAGCACTCTGTGAGAGGACCCATGCTTTTCATCTCTCAACCACCTCCAGTGAATGTGCGATCTTACCATTAGAGATTCAAATTGAGATAATTAAGGCACAACTGTCCCTGGTGCTGAGAGACTTTACTCTCTCTTTTCTTCACTCCCCCCATGCATTGTTTTTCCTGTTGTCAAGGTAGACCTGAGGGTAATCAAGCTCTGATGTGTGTGGGTGGCTGCCCGCACCTCTCTTAAACAATTGCTGCAGTCCACGGCTTGTATTAGATGTCTTATTAGGAACCACATCTTGAGGTACTTCATTTCACTATTCAACTATAAGCTGTAACGGTTTATTTATCATATGTTGTGTAACTTTTTTTTTTTTTTTCCCTATTGCATTTAAAGGAATAGTTCACCCCAAAATGAAAATTTGCTGAAAATGTACTCTCCCTCAGGCCATCCAAGAAGTAGATTAGAAGTACAGTAGAGTTTGTTTCATCTTTGAAACCGATTTGGACCAAATTTAGCATCACTTGATCCTCTGCACCATTGGATCCTCTGCAGTGAATAAGTTCATGTTGGTGGATTTTGATGTGAGCAGACAACCGGGGAGGATCTTTTATTTTTTTTAATTAATTTTTTTTAACACTTGCTGGGGGAAGCGTTATTGTGGATGATGGACTCGTATTTTGGTCAGAAGTGATGGTTTAAAGTTAAAATACCATAATTATTATTATTTATTTTTTTAAGACATTAAGATTAATGGAGTCATGCAGATTTCTTGTTCGAATTTTTTCCCCAAATCTTTTCAGATGAAGCAATTAACATCTTGTGAACACAGGGACCATATTGCAAAGACACATTGCACAAAAAATCCATGAACACTGCACCAAATTACCACTCGTAAAAA